TATGTCCAGCGGATTGTTGCCTTCCGGTGTAGGATCTCTGAAATCGCAGAAAAAACATTCCATTATGTAGGAACGGTAATAGGAGAATTCGCGAATACAATGCTTTTCCAATTTCTACGAGTAAACTTGTATGTGACCTACCATTCTTACGCTAGCAATCAAAATTTCCAATTGCACGTTTTCTCTTAACGAGATACTCACCCATACTTGGCGAAATTGGTCCACATAGTGCTCATCTTCACGATGTGTTTGTGTTCAGGATCATCCGGGTTTGGGGACGAGTAGATATCTCTTAGTTGCCATATGTACGGAATGTCGTCCATGTGAGCACAAGCTAAAATTATGCACCGACACCTCTTATCCTTTCTATATTTTCCGAAGAATCACCGCGAATACTCACCACCTTCGATGTGCATGCCCGCGTAAACCTTGTGGAATACATTCGACGTGAAGAAAGATTGATGATAAAAGTAAACGTCAGTCGGCACATACTTAGCTAGCGCTTTCTGAGCCATATCGATTGGACTGTCGAACAACACGATCGATACGAGCTGAAACGAAAGCGAACGGAGACGTGGATGAGATTCTTTTTCGTAACTTTTCGTCGGACAGAACGAGTGAAATCAAGTCTGGAATGAAAAGGATGTTTAGGTCGATAACTACCCTAATAATAGGTGTTCCGTCGCGCAGGTACGGAACGCGTGGGGTTTTCGTTGACCGGGTTTATGGCACGCTCGCACTAGAAGGTTATTTTTGAAAACAAAGACGCTTCGTAGCTCCGCGAAAAAATAAGTGTAACCGAAGGCCTGTATAACCTCGATAACTGAAGACGTGTCATAAACCAGGTATTACTGAGGGTTGACCTGGCGGGAATTTCCGACGCGTCACCGAAGGACAGTGAGGATTTCACGCACCCGCAGGTAGGGCCCGACTCCTTCCAAGGAAAAGCGCGCTAAGGGCACGATGGAAGGGTGTGTGACACTCAAGGGGCACGTTGACTGGTAATTTGTGCGTACGTGAAAAACCAATCAACGTGCCTTCTTACACTTGGCGGGGGAGTCACTGGGGACTCCAGAAAAATTCGGGGATCGGAACACACATTCGCAAAGATTCTCCCGTGCGAACAACACACAGTCTCCAACCGTTCGAGGAGACACCCGTAGTTTTCGAGTCGCGATCGATCATTCGAGTCTTGAAACAAGTCGTCAATCGCATCGTGATGCAGACTTGCTAACGTATCGAGCAAACAAAATTTGAACTAGTTACCTAAGATTAATTTGACGGGTAACAGTCGCGAACGCGAGTTCTTTTGAACATCACACAAGTTCGCGACGCGACGACAATAGGGGTTAAAACTTTGTTGAAATGGTCTTTCTAGGAAGCTCTTTCAATTCACGTGTCACATGTTTCGGCTTATTCGGCTAGATCCTTCGCTTCTGCAATTTAACACGTTCACTGCCACGTTGGTCACCTGTGCGCCTCGAGTGTTCGGTGCAATTCAAATAAAACGAATATCGTCGACTAAACTTTCGAACGTCTACAGCTAACTAGACGTTATTTCGAATTAAAAAGAAAAAGCTTGGAATAGTGAAAATTTGATTCTGGCCCCTATGTTAACGTAATTACCTTGGTGAGATTCTCAATAGTTAAGAGAGCGGTGTCCTTCACGAGGGTGAGCAATGCATTATGTGCCACTGGGTCAATTTTTCCAAAGTAGTCGATGATATCCGTGGCGTTGCCTGCCACTCTATCGACAACTGCCGAAGGAAAGTAGTTCGTTATTAGAACGATGATCTATCTTGAGTGGAATTTTGCAATAGGAAAATTTCATCAATACTGACTGTAAAGGAAGGGCAGAGCCTCATTTTCCGTGTAACCTAACATTGTCGGCACTTTGTTGAAATTTCCAGTTAATAGCTTCTTCATGGAACAGTCTGTCACGTATGCTGTGGGATCCGTAAGCTTGTTCTCTATACAGGGTCTGAACGGAATCGGGTAGAGTACGTTCTGAAAAGAATGATTCGAAGATTGATACGAAGAAGAATTCTAGAGCGACAGAAGTGCGAAGGAGTAGCGTTTCGAGACGGAGAGCGTGGGATATAGTGTGAGGCAGAGTTGCACGACCATTCAAGGTCGTCGGTGAAAAATAGGAAAGGAGAGGATGTTGCGATTGCGGGGACAAATGAAAGGAGCACACGAGATTGTTTAGAATTTGGAGTTGAAGTTTAGAGAGTTTGCGAGAGGTGTCGCATTTGTTGCTATAGTCCATGGGTGTCCAACCTTTCGATTTGCCTGGGCTATACGAAATATACAGTACAGTGAATTGTACATAAGTAAGAGAACCTCCTTTATTTTCTAATATTTTTTATTATAATGAAATTGAGTCGTGAAAAAGTTGTGCTGTTCAGGGTCGCAGGTTGGACACGTCTGCTATAGTCTATCCAAATATACAATATGAGCTGTTTAATGGAAAAGTGGTGCAAGTGAATTTTTTGCCTACTTCATTTAACACCACATCTCGAAAGCTCAACCTTCGTTCTGCTTTGTGCAGAATAAACGATCGAATGATGAATAAAGTGATCGATTTTCTTAAGGTACTTTTTAAGGCACTTTAGCTTAAGGTACAACTACATAGTGGCTTACATAAAAGAGATGTAACATCCTTTCATATCGTTGAATTTCACAGAACTTTCACTTCGTCCCTCATTATCGAGAATTCAACTTTTTCAACTTGCACCACTTTCGAATTAACCCTTTGAGGACGGAGGACTTCGTACTGATTACTTGGGGACATACAATTAGCACGCTATTTCAATCTCCTTTTTTTACACTAAATCATTTCAAAATTGTCTTTTTTTCTTAAATATACCGTTCGTTCAAAATAAGAATAACCTCGCTCTCGGACCGATTTTCGTCCGTTCTGCGCATAGACAGAGAGCGTAGCAGAGAAAAACGTTGGCGCTTAAGTGGGGGTTTGGACGTTCTAGCCCTGCCTTAGGCACGTCACATGCGCGAAACGAGGTTATTCTTATTTTGAACGAGTGTAGCGACCCTCCTGCGCTCTACCACCAGAGGGACGAACTAACCACAGGTTCTCGCTGGTCCTCGTAAAGGCTCCTATTCGCATATATACACCTTCTAACCTGAGTCCTTCCAGTCCCTCCAGCGTTTAAGGCACGGGTCTCCTAGAAAGCCTTACCGACGAGTCCACTAGGAGGCCCAGGACGAAACGCCCGACACCTTTCCTTTCCCGTCTATCCTCTACCACTTTCCTATTAGCTTCAGGAGTTTATGGCAAAAGCAACTATTTTTAGAGGTATTGATTGGGTTCACAGTGTTTTATGAACGAGTCGATAGTCTCGAAAGGGTTAAACGGCTCGTATATTCGTTGTTTTCACATTAAAATTCCTATAGATTAATATGTATTTACCAGTTCGTTTGTTGCTACTGCTATCTCTATAGCATCGGCTGTAGAAAGTTTGTCCACAATGTCCTTGGTGGTAATGCTCAAGTGGCCAAGCCTAAGAGCGAGCAGCCTAGCATTGTTATGTGCATCTAGCCTCGTGTGATGGGCCCACGGGGTCAGTGACGTGCCGCTCATTAAAATCGCTTTCGAGAACAGACCTAATTGACGGAGAAGAAAAAAGACGGATTAATATGCTTGTGCGTGATAACAGGCTTAAATTATTTCGTGCATACCTGCAGCTTGCTCTGCCAATATGTGATAATTAACAGATGCAGCTCCAGCGCTCTGTCCAAATATCGTGACTTGCTTTGGATCACCACCGAACGCGGCGATATTTTTCTGTACCCATTGCAAAGCTAAATGTTGATCCTTCAGACCTACGTTGCACGAAACGCGCGGATCGTCCACGCATAGGAAACCTGGTGGAAAGAAATTTTAAACGTTGAACCGTGTTCATCCTCGGTTAAGACTGAATTAAATTTAGAACATTTGTTCCATTTATGAAAAAATGTGCTTTGAAAAATGGAAAGAAGTTCTCGGTACGAGACGAGAAGTTGAACGATATTTACCCTCGATTAAGCCTAAATTAAATTTAAGAAATTTTCTTCATTTGCGAAGAATTAAACACTGAGCATTTACTTTGATACGAAAATTGTCAGAATATCAAAAAGATGAAGTTGGCTCAATTGGTCCGGTACATTTTTCTTTCACTTTCTCAAATATTCATTCATTTACCAAAGGCACCGACGCGATAATTCATAGAAACCACCACGACGTCATGGCTCATCAAATAATAAGGTCCGTAGAAGGTATAGTTGCTGTAACCAGCTATGAAGGCGCCGCCGTATATCCAAACCATGACTGGTTTTAACGTCATCGACTCCGAGAAATTTGTCTGTCAAATAGAGTGAAAAGTTGAACGATCCTTCTGAAATTTTTAATTAGAAAAAAAAAAATGAAGTGTATTTACATAGGGTGTGTACACGTTGATTTTCAAGCAATCCTCGCGTCCCATCAGCCGTTGCGACAATATATCGTTCTGTGAACACGGAATGGGCTCTTCGGTGGCATCTAGGGTCCCTTCCCATGGTGCAGCAGGAACAGGAGGCTGTTGTAGGCGAAAAATTCGAATCAGACATTTCAGGCTTTCGAGTGTAAACCGTGTTCATACCTTACGGAATTGTTAGTGTTAAATTAAATAAATAATTTAATATATCATTAATGGAATTAATTGTGTTAATTCCTTGTGGAATTATTTTCCAAACGTTTCGCCATCGTTGCAACTACTCTTCGTTCAAAATAAGAATAACCTCGTTTCGCGCATGGGACGTGCCTAAGGCAGGGCTAGAACGTCCAAACCTCCACTTAACCGCCTACGTTTTTCTCCGTCTTACCCTCTGCTATGCTCTCTGTCTGTGCGCAGAACGGACGAACAATCGGTCCTACAGCGAGGTTATTCTTATTTTGAACGAAGCGTATACAGCTTCATCGGTGTGTCTTCAACGTTGAAACATTGGGAAAATAATTCCACAAGGACACGATTTACGCCCGAAAGCCCGAAAGTAAGGAATGTAAGAAATTCGGAGCTTTCTTACTCGACATGAAGAGAAGAAACTGAAAAGTTGAAATATCACCTTAAATCTGAGTGCTCCGACAGGAGGTTTCCCGTAAGGCATGTTCGTGAAGCTCGAAAATTTAGTGGAATTGTCCCATGCGGTGTAGTTGTGGGAACCGCGCACGGCGCCATTTTGTGTCATCACTACTGGTCCATCTCCGCCATTTGCGTAGTGAAGGAACAATAACGCAAACAGGACCAACATTTTGCTGCCCATATTTCGATCCTTTCCAAAGAATCCTTCGCTTCTTTTTGTCTAGCAATGTAAAATAGAAACGATACGATCGACGCAATTGCGATTTCTCAGCCTGCGATCACGCGAAATGAAGATTTTTGTGATTTCTCGGTTACTGACATTGGAGAATTGTTTGTTAAACGAACGTTATTAGGTTTGCAACTGAATTCGCAAGCTTATGTCTTGTAATTTCTTCTCTCATCGCGATAAATTTGTTTCTTGTATCATTCGAAATCTCTTAATTTGTGATTATTTTGAAATAAAAAATTTGTTGTCTCGATTATTCGAAAAAATATGATTGTCGCGAACTTAGTTGCCATCCCAATTCTTCGAGTAATACATGTATGTCAGTGTTGTGAATGCAACACGAGGATAGAAGTTGGTTTTTCAAATTTTATATTAGTAAGATCAATGAAATATGAATATTTAGTAAAATGTTAGTTTAACAGTGAAAATCTTCTCTTTTCTACTTATTCTGATAATTACGTCTGACGTTTGTACACGTACCGGACGAACTATTAACCGTAACTGTAACGTTCAATCGTCCTAGTTTTCTTTTATAACGCACATATACATATGTATGTAGATTTACAAGATGGTAAACAATATTGAAAGAAACTTACCTGAAGTAATGCAGCAAGTATGCCACTGTTGCGAAAGCAATGTGAAGTAGCAAGTTTTTTTCACTGCTTTTATACTCGTAAAACCTATGAGGTATGCATATTTAATAACATAATAATTTAATGTCATGGTCGCCAAAAAGCCTACTCTTCAGTTCTACCATTTACCGATAATGCCAATTATCTCCAGTGTATATACATTCTACCGAACAATTTGCCCACAGATAACTGTCACGTTGTATGGTTCTACTTTGAAGGATCTTCCGAACCGTTTCATTTTTCTATTCCTGTACACTTCGAATCCAAAATGGCTGCCGTGGCGAGCAACACGCCCAAGAGCGCACCTCTGCGACAATCGCACGGTCGTTATTCTCATTGTTCGAGGGAGGTTCCTCGTGAAACTTTTTTATTTTTCACCTTTTTGTAAGTTAAACCTGTAGGAACGTATTTGGGAGATTTTTCTGATTAAAATGATTCCAAACACGATATAATTTGAACGATGTTAGTTAGTACTCATCATAACTCATCATGAGTTATCAAGTATGCAAATATTTCTGAAATAATATCGTGTTTGGTATCGTTTTAACGAGAAAAATGTGACGAATACGTTGGTAACAATTTCATTCGTGACAAATCGAAGATAAGAAAGTTTGATTTTTGAGTTGAAGGTCTGAGCTTATCGCGTGACAACGATGTTGTCGAACGCTTCGTCTCTCAGTCCCTCTTTCTCTTTCACGCGAGTTGTCCTCTCGAGACCTCCGTTTCTTAGAACGGAACAGTTTCTACCTTTGGATAATTGTCAACTTTGGTTCCCGATGTTGGCGCAATTATCCAATGTTTCAGGTGTTACTGTGACCTAATGGAAAACATATGACCGACACAAACACTCATTTTTTTCTCGTTATGAAGTTAAAGTGTAATTTTAGACTAAGATAGGCGAAAAGTGTATAGTTAAACTTAATATTCGAACCTTAGTTACACATTTGAGACACACACTCAAATTTTTATTCAGGCCATTTTATACTTCAAATCGTCTAATATCATCGATTAAGCTACCTCTAAAATTCTTACGTGTATACAGGGTGTCCCGTAACTCTGGGAAAATCCGGAAATGGGGGGTTGCCGGGGTGACTGAACAACTTTTTCCTCTACCAAAAAGTTTGTTCGAAGCTTGCTTCTCTGAAAAACACTGGCCAATCACAGCGCGCGTAGAGCCCGCGCTCAGGGGCGGTTAGGCTTAGAGAAATGCGTAAAAAGTCGTTCAGAGTCACCCCAGCAACCCCCCATTTCCGGGTGTTCGAGGAGTTACGGGACACCCTGTATAAATTGCAACGAGAGGCGACAGGACTTATGGGATGACCATTATGGGATTATTTTTCGACGTTCTAGTCGTAAAGTACACATTTTTTTAAACGTGAAAAATCTTTACTTCTTTGCTACATTTGCTTTCTAAGTACATGTTAGGTTTCGTTACTTCGCATCCAACCAATTCGTCGAATAAATTCAATTACACGTTGAATTTATATCTGGCTCGTACCCTAAAGCACTAGCATCCGCCAAACGATTGTTCATCGTGAAAGTTGTGTTCATATCGATCTGCAATCCTTCTGCTCCTGATGGCGTCCACGTCACGTCTATCGGGGAGTTGCCTTCCGGTGTAGGATTTCTAGAATCCCAAGAAAAAGGGGGATTTCCAGTTAACGTTAAGTTTCATTATCGATTAACGAGACACTCACCCATACTTGGCAAAATTGGTATACAGAGATACCATCGTGTTCAGATACTGGTAAAAAGGATCGTTAGGATCTGTGGGCACTGGTATTATTGCACTTGCCTCCCATACGTACCAAACGTCGTCAATGTGGGCAACACCTGACAATTTTTACCAACACAGATTATCCTTCGTATATTTCCTATTTCGAAACTTACGCAAGTATCAGGCCATCCCGTAAGTTTGCGTCGAATGTGATAATTCAGATCAATATTTCCAGGGAACACTTAAATTTGATAAAAGAGAAGAAAGTGTCTTTTAAATCCACAACTTTTTTCCAGTTTTTTCGATAAGACTGTGACAAAATTTCCTTGGATTTTCGTTAAAATATTGTTCACTTTCGCCACGAACTTACAGTTGTGCAAACTCACCATCGTAAGGAATATGGAGGTAAACCTTGTGCAACGTATAAGGTGACTGGTAAGATTGTCGATAAAAGTAAACGGAATTGTTGCCGTTATTCGCAGCCAACAGTTTCTGAGTTAGATCTATCGAACTGATGAAGTACAAGTCCGTTCCAACCTGAAGGAGAAGCAAAAAGAGACGTGAATAAGAGAAAATGCTGCGTCTATTCAATATTGAGAAGTGGTGGGGGTACAGGGACTCTGTGACCTTGAGCGGGAAATATTCGGTCGCGACTATAGCAGGCACGTGTCTACGGGCATCGAAAGCTTTCGCTTACCTTCGTGAACACGTCGACACCGATGTCAGCTGGATCGTTGACAGTGTCGGTGAATGTCTTAGAGGTCATTGGGTCGACGTTCGAGTAGTATTCTGTGGCATCGCGAACGGGAGATGCCGATTGGGTGAAAGCTGCGAACAGGATGGCTCGTTTTCTATCGAATCTAGCAACGAAATCAAAAATTCCAGCGATACTCACGGAAAAGGAAGAAGAGAGCTTCGTCGTGCGTGTAACCTAGCATCGTTGGCACCTTGTTGAAATTTCCACTTTGATATTTCGTTAGAGAACACTGCGTTACGTATGCTGTGTTATTGTAATCGATAGTGGTGTTCTCTATGGTGGTTCTGAATGGAAACGGATTGAGACTGAGCTAAAAAAAAAAAGAAGGAAAATATTACAGTGCTCCATTCTTCCACGTGCTCAATTCGTTGCAATTAACGCTATTAATAATCACAAGCAATTGGGTCGCGCTTGAGAGTTCGAAAGCGGGAGCTTGAGAAAGGAAGTCCAACAGGTCCTCGGTGCTCGTGGAATTGTGACCAAGAAGAAGAGCAAGCTGGTACGCACTGTTGTAAGCATCTTGAGATGTCTGATGCGCGAGCCGACTCAGTGGAGTGCCGCTTATTAAGATCACTTTTGAAAACAGACCTGATCGACGGATAGGAAGAGGAAGATTAGCGTGCTTGCATGTAACAACATGCACGAATATTTGAACACGCACCAGCTGCTTTCTCTGACAATACGTGAAGACCAATGCACATAGCTCCAGAGCTCATCCCGAATAAAGTCACTTGATTAGGATCCCCGCCAAATGCAGCGATATTCTTGTTCACCCATTGCAGGACCAGATATTGATCCTTCGTACCTGCGTTGCCTAAAGCTCTTGGATGATTCAACGATAGAAAACCTGGTGGGAAAGTTCCTTCGTAGAATTCATTCTCTCTTTTGTCTGGTTTTGTCGAATTTTCAGTCATTTACCAAGAACGCCGACGCGATAGTTGAAGGTAACTATAACGACGTCACGTTCCACCAAAAAGGAAGGTCCGTACAAGGTATCGTTGCTGAAACCGGCCGAGAATGCGCCGCCGTATATCCAAACCATGACTGGTTTCAACTTCAGGGAACCCCCGAAGTCTGTCTGTCATAAATGAATCGATGCAAGTGCAATTAGACAGGGTTCAAAGTTGAACGATTTTTGTAATTAGAGTTTTGAAATTGTGAAATTGATGAAATTAGGAAATTAGGAAATTAGAAAATTATGAAATTAGGAATTTAGGAAATTATGAAATTGGGAAAGTATGAAATTAGGAAATTAGGAAATTGTGAAATTAGGAAATTAGGAAATTGTGAAATTAGGAAAGTATGAAATTGGGAAATTAGGAAAGTATGAAATTAGGAATTTAGGAAATTAGGAGAGTATGAAATTAGGAAATTATGAAAATAGGAATTTAGAAAATTAGGAAATTATGAAATTAGGCAAGTATGAAATTGGGAAATTAGGAAGGTATGAAATTAGGAATTTAGGAAATTATGAAATTAGGAAAGTATGAAATTAGGAAACTGGGAAATTGTGAAATTAGGAAATTAGGAAAGTATGGAATTGGGAAATTAGGAAAGTATGAAATTAGGAATTTAGGAAATTAGGAGAGTATGAAATTAGGAAATTATGAAAATAGGAATTTAGAAAATTAGGAAATTATGAAATTAGGCAAGTATGAAATTGGGAAATTAGGAAGGTATGAAATTAGGAATTTAGGAAATTATGAAATTAGGAAAGTATGAAATTAGGAAACTGGGAAATTGTGAAATTAGGAAATTAGGAAAGTATGGAATTGGGAAATTAGGAAAGTATGAAATTAGGAATTTAGGAAATTAGGAGAGTATGAAATTAGGAAATTATGAAAATAGGAATTTAGAAAATTAGGAAATTATGAAATTAGGAAAGTATGAAATTGGGAAATTAGGAAAATATGTTAGGAAATTATGAAATTAGGAAAATATGAAATTAGGAATTTAGGAAATTATGAAATTAGGAAAGTATGAAATTAGGAAATTAGGAAATTAGGAAATTAAGAAATTAGGAAATTATGAAATTAGGAAATTATTACATTAGGAAAGTATGAAATTAGGAAATTAGGAAAGTATAAAATTAGGAAATTAGGAAATTAGAAAATTATGAAATTAGGAATTTAGGAAATTAGGAGAGTATGAAATTAGGAAATTATGAAAATAGGAATTTAGAAAATTAGGAAATTATGAAATTAGGAAAGTATGAAATTGGGAAATTAGGAAAATATGAAATTAGGAATTTAGGAAATTAGGAAATTAGGGGTTAAAGTTGAATTTGTAATTAAAACAGAAAAGTATTTACAACAGGTGTATACACGTTGATGTTCAAGCAATCCTCGCGACCCACCAGCTGTCGCCCAAGAAAATCATACTGTGGACACGGATTAGGCACTTTTGTAGCATTTAGGGTCCCCTCCCATGGTTCAGCGGGAAGAGGAGGCTGTTGTGTAATAAATTCAAAGCTTTTTTAATTTGAAATGAAATTAAAGTGTGTTTTAAATGGGAAAATATTACTTGAAATCTGAGATGACCAACAGGTGGTTTCCCGTACGGGATTCCCCTGAATGACGAAAATTTCATTGATCTCCACACGGTAGTGTTGTACAGACCACGCACCGCGCCATTTTCTGTCTGCACTACTGGTCCACTTTGGCCCTTGCACTGTTGAATCGAGAATAATGCAAACAAAACCAACACTTTGGTGCCCATATTTTCCTCCTTTCAATGAATTCTTCGCTTCTTTTTATCTATAATACCAATGGAAAATATGAAAATTACCATTAATTTAAAAATCAATCCCTTCAGTTAACAGCTTTTGCTCTCATATAACAAAATTCATTCGTCTAATCTATCTATATTTTAATGAATACGACAATTTTTCAAATGTATATACGTAACTTGATGTAATCTTTTTCGCTGCAAAATGAAGACACAAGTTGCAGAAGAAAGTCTCAGAGATCAGATTTGTCGATTATTGAAATTAGGGAGTTATTTTTTAAGTAATATTTATAAAATTTCACGTTAACACGTTCGTTACCACTGTTCTATTGAAGAATCGTCTACTATCTTCTATTTTTCCGTACATTCTTGATATCCATACTTTTATCAGTCTTATGCACATGTAATACGCATTAAATATGCAAGCTGTGCATTTTGTATAATATATTCCATGCACATTATGTTAAACTTTTCGTGGCTTTTCCGCACGAGGTATCAGTAGATACAGATACACCAATTTATTCGTGAAATTTTCGTTATCGTCAAAATTACTATTTTCTTTTTTTTTGTAACCAATTCTGAAAATTATTTCTGCGTTTATACGCGTACTAAAGAAACAATTACAGATCACAACTGTCACGTTCGATCGCTCTAGTTTTCTTTCATTTCTCATTCTTCGAAGCACTTCATTTTTCACCCTCTGTAAGCTTGAAATCCAATATGGCCGCCGCGAGACTCAAGTGTCACTGTGACGCAATACCAGAACTACGAAAAACCAAAAGAGAAAGCATAAAACATACATTTTTTTCTAATTGTAAGTTGAAGAGAAGCAATTTCAAGCTGAGATAGGGGAATTTTCACAGGCAACCTGTAATCTTCTAATTGGACATTGCACAATTCTTGTTTTCTCGTCCTTTTGAAAAATGCATCGTGACAGTACGAAAAATTGTCTCCACTTTGCAGCGCTGTTCAATAATCGTCGTAACGTCGTATTTCGATAATTAAAGATAGCATGGTTTTTAAACGCCAGATAATTGCACCGTGAATTACAGAATTGCTGGACTTCGTCACCCAGGCTTACTGGAAGAGAAAGCGCGCTGATACTCGAGGCTGCCATAAATTAAGCCCTTTCCCAGGACAGTCGGGCCAGGAGGCTCTAACGGTTTTTCGGAGCAACGCAGGATAGGACGTGGAGAGGGCACTCTCGTTGTGGCCGTCGAGCGAGACGGACACCCGAGCCATCTTAGCAACCGTGGATATTCCGAAATATAATATATTTGTATAATACAACGTTCCTGCAATACACACATTTTTCCGTTGCGACAATTTTTCCAATCACTTTACACGTGCCGTTAATACAATTTTATCATTCCTGTGCAATTTGCACCGAAAGACAGAACATTTCCCCTTGGAAGTTGTTACGATAGCCTCCGGGCATAATGCGTGAAAGAAACACGAAATGCCACTAAAGAATCAGGCGCGTGTCTACGTTTAAGCTTAACTTCCCGAGCTTATCGTGGTAACGATGATTGCGTGTAATTAACACGTTCCGTGCCTCGTGTGTCATCGATGACTCGTGTCGAGCTTTCCATTCAGGATGTTCGATTATTTAATTACAGTAGATATCGCGAAAATGTTATCGTTTTGCGTGGAAATTGGAAAGGAGGAAGTGGGGATCGACAGGGATAGAAGCTGCGTTTTCAGAGGCGCAGGACGAAGTTTGTAAGAGAAAAAGTGAGGATTGACAGAGACACGAGCGAAAGCTTGAGCAATTTTTAAATGGAAAATTTGGGAAATAGTGTTCTTGTATGTGTACCGTCCGGAATATCGTATTCGTGATGTCCTTTCCTTCCCTTGGACGATGACTTGCCTTACCTTACAAAGGAAAGCCTGTCTATTTGATGGGATGACGTGTGGGTAGAATGACGCTACTCTTTTTTTAAAAATTAACAAATAAATGTAAGACTAAGGAATTACAGGTGCTTAAAATAACTGATTTTAGAATAACGTTGGTTCGCTCGTCGATGACTATGTGCGATATTGTGTGGGCCGCTGCCCTTTTTCCCGTTTTTATATGATTTTTCGACCGTTAGGACCGTGCAAGACGGGTGTGGGGGCGCAGCCTTTTTTTTTTTTACGTGGGGAAAATCCTTATGGACACCGGACTCTTACCATGCCGGACTCTTACCGGCTAAAACCCCCACGGCTACCCTCGTAGACCCCGAGGCAGTTTCCTATTCTTCCGGGCACCTCCCCGCACCTGTGTCTTTCGACCCGACCGAACTCTCTTGTACTCCTGAACTCCGTCGGAGCAGGGGGGTAGCGCCCCGCTCCGGCCCACCTCAGGGGGATCGCGTGCAAGTCCGGCTTGTCGTGGTGGTGCAGTCTGCGCTCATCCATGTCTAGGGCCCCCTACGCTCATCCATGTCTAGGGCCCTCTGAGCTCATCCTTGTCTAGGGCCCCCTACGCTCATCCATGTCTAGGGCCCTCTGAGCTCATCCTTGTCTAGGGCCCCCTGCGCTCATCCATGTCTAGGGCCCCCTACGCACATCCATGTCTAGGGCCCCCTACGCTCATCCATGTCTAGGGCCCTCTGAGCTCATCCTTGTCTAGGGCCCTTTGAGCTCATCCTTGTCTAGGGCCCCCTGCGCTCATCCTTGTCTAGGGCCCACTGCGCTCATCCTGGTCTAAGGCCCCTTGCGCTCATCCTTGTATAGGGCCCACTGCGCTCTTCCTGGTCTAAGGCCCGTTGCGCTCATCCTGGTCTAAGGCCCCTTGCGCTCATCCTGGTCTAAGGCCCCCTGCGCTCATCCATGTCTAGGGTCCCCTGCGCTCATCCTTGTCTAGGGCCCCCTGCGCTCATCCATGTCTAGGTCCCTCTAAGCTCATCCTTGTCTAGGGCCCACTGCGCTCATCCTTGTGTAAGGCCCCCTGCGCTCATCCTTGTCTAGGGCCCCCTACGGCTCATGTCCCGCGGTCGTTGTCTAGCCGCGTCGCACAGCGCTTTACATTAAAAATTAGATTGTTAAAACAATATGAGAAAGTTAGAAATATTTATCAGTATCGAATATTCACTTTTTTTGGAAAGTACGTTCATGAGTCGTAACAAGGAGTCATCAGTGGTAATAGGCTGTTCAAAAGTTTCTCGTAAGTCTCAGTTTCCTCGTCGATCAAACGATGATGCATCGTTAAGTTCGAATCGATGTCCAATTGTAAACCGTCGATTCCAGAATTGACCCAAGTGACGTCGAATTTCGAGTTATTCAAACACTTTGGCGTGGGATCTCTGCGAAAATGGAAGGATATGCTAATATTTTTTTCACGAAAGTCTGCATTTCTAGATTTTACTCATTTTTCAGCGTTTTACCCAAATTTGGCAAAGTTAGCCCACAGGGAGACCATTTTTTTTCTGAATCGATTGAACTCGTTTTTGGGATCTGTCGGTGCGTGAAGCGACTGTGCGTTGAAGATGTAACCGACGTCGTCGAAGTGTGCTGTTCCTGAAAGAAATTTCCACTTTTTACTGTTCAAGTAAAAAGAAAAAAAGGCAAACGGAAGTTTCTTTAATATATAGAATTGGAAAAATTAATACCATTCGGAGGATTATTGTTCACAATTCTTTACTATAAAAAAAAAGAAGGTGTCTTTAATACGTGCAATTTAAAAAAATGAATACCATTCAGAAATTTCCATTATTTACTGTAAAAATAAAAAGAAAAACGAAAGTTTCTTTAATACGTAAAATTGAAAAAATGAATACCACTCGGAGGATTATTGTTCACAATTTTCTACTATAAAAAAGAGAAATTGTCATTAATACATAGAATTGGAAAAATGAATACCATTCAGAGGATTATTGTTCACAATTTTCTACTACAAAAAAAAAAGAAAGCTTCTTTAATAAAATAAATACCATTCAGAGAATTGTTGTTCAATTTATGCATAGAGTACTCTGTTTGGTACGATAATCGATAATAGTAAATAGGATAGTCCGAATTATGTTCTGCCAGTAGCCTTTGAGTTAGATCAATGGGACCAATGAAGGTGATGTCCATTACGATCTACGAATTTCCAAGAAAATATCGTTAAAAAAAATGTTTAAACATTCCTTGCTCAAAGAAACAACCACCTCTTTACATACTTTCGTTAGCTTTCTGAAGTTCGCATAATTCATGTTCCTTATGTGTTGCGCTATTTGATCTGCTAACTCCCCAGGAATATCATAGTCACTCTTGACAATGTCCTCGAAATATTTTTTAATCGAAACGACCATGTTTGCCACGTCCATCGGTGCTGAAACGAAAATTGGCAAGAACTTAAATACGACGATTCATCTTTCGATATTCGCGACACTTACAAGCCAGAAACGTCAAAACTTCGTCGTGCGTGAAACCTAGCATCATAGGATGATGGTAAAAATCCCCTTTTTGGTACAATTTTACGGGACATTCTGCGAGAAATGTGCTATTTTCACGATCAACGGCAGGACTTTCTATGGTTGGGCGAAACGGTAGGAAATTCTAGAAATATAAACGGAATATTGAATCGAATTCGAGTGGAAAGAAATGGTAATTTTTCGAATATTTTTGCATCAGTACCAGTGAAACATATGTCGTTGCTTCGATCAGTTTCGTCGCTGGTGTTTTACGAAACTGAATTAATAAATCGTCGATGTCTATGGGTGCGATACCGAGAAAGGCGGCAAGTTGAAGAGCGTTTGCGATCATTTCTTGCGGTGTGTGAGAGGACCAGGGGCATAGTGATGTGCCGCTCATGCTAATCGAGCGTTGAAACAGTCCTGGAGAAGGAAAAGAGGACAGAATGGTCAATGGAAAAATTAAAAAAAAAAGATTCTACGTATAAAAGAAAATATTTCTCGAGTTCTATATTTAGGGTGGCCATATTTTACAGATATTCTATTTTAGAAGTTTAGACATTTCAGAGTTCCCCTGATTTAGAATAATTTTGTATTTTAAAACTTCTCTATTTTAGCCGTTTTCATTCTTGGAATTTAGAAATTTTACAGTTCCCCTAATTTAGAATAAGTTTTTATTGAAAACTTTTTACGATAATTTTTCGGTTTTGTCGTTTCTTGTATTTTGGAATTTTACATTTAGCGTGGCCATGTGTTAGAGACCCTCTATTTTAGACTTTTCATTTTTCAATTTCAAAGTTCCCCTAATTTAGAATAATTTTTCATTAAAAACTTTTGCAATAATTTTTCGTTTCTCTCGTTTTTCATATTTTCGAGTTCTATATTTAACGTAGCCATATTTTAGAGATCCCCTATTTTAGACTTTTCATTTTTATATTTCCAAGTTCCCCTAATGTAGAGCAATTTTTTATTAAAAACTTTTACGACGTTAACTTGGATATCTTTCTATTGAACTTCGAATGTATAGCACGTACCTCTAGATTTTTTCGACAACGCGTGAAACGAGACGGAAGTGCCGCCAGCACTCTCTCCGAAAAGTGTCACCTGCTTTGGATCGCCACCAAAGGCGGCAATATTCCTCTGCACCCATCGAAGAACCAAATTTTGATCCTTCAGCCCTGCGTTGCCTGTTGCGTCAGGATGATTCAGTGCCAGGAATCCTGAAAATCGAAATCGATCGAGTAGATCATGTAGACCTAAATTTAATACGACTTTGAAGAAGGAGAAAAGCCTCGAATACCTAAAACTCCGAGACGATAATTGAAACTGACGAAAACAACGTCCTCCTCTAAGAAGAAATCTGGCCCGTACAACGAGGAATTGCTGTATCCTGTACGATAACCTCCAGCGTGAATCCAAACCATAACTGGCCTCAGATGTACTGGATTCTTGAACACCGTCTGGCAATAAAAATTCCAATATTCGTCAATTCAATTCGTTCCATTTCCTTCTCAAATTCTATCAAATCCTTCGAAATCTCTTCGATCATTTATTGTGCAGGAATTTTTCAATTTTCCGAGCGAGTGTTTAGATCAGAGTGATGGAAGTGTGAAAGAAAAGTGTTTGAACCGAGTACGTGAGATTCTGCCGTGAATCTGATTCAAGGTTTTCGACGCATTCACCTATGTACTTCACCATCTTCTATTATAAAAAGGACAACACCTCTAGTAAGTGTCAAATGTAGTTTGAAAGCGGAGGAAGAAGATTCTAGAGCAAGAATGGAACCGAAAAGCGACGCAGGAGGGATGGCCTTGAGCGCGCGATACATTTGGCTCCTGCTATAGTCTGAGTCGATTCTTAGCATTGCAGACTCGCGGAAGTGCAGCGTGTTTTCAATCTATATAAGAAATCTATCTGCAACCTAACATTTCTACAACAGTTTTCTCTATAATTACTTATGTAATCAGCAAATATTAATCGAAAACATCATGGTAGATAATAACATAGACGGATAAAGTTGGTAAATTGATCCTGAGCCAATTCTAAGGCAAAAATAATACATAAAACAAACGACCTAACATTTCTAGAATATTAAAACGTAATATACGAATTTCTACCTACCTCAGGTGTAAACACATTTAGATACAAGCAATCCTCGTGTCCTACAATCGCACTGGTTATACTGTCTGACTGAGGACACACGCTACCCTCTTTGTAAGCGTTCAACACCTTTATCCATCTCCTAATCGGAACTGCAGGCTGCAATAATCGAAACCAACAGTTTACACAAGATCGAACAATGTCGGAAACAATCGCTATTGCTCCGACAAATAGTTCACTTAATTCCACCTTGAATCTGAAGTCACCTAGTGGCGGTTTCGCGTAAGGGATGCCCTTGAACGACGAATACTCCACTCCGTTCCATACTGTCCGCAATATCGTACCACGAACTAGTCCACTGGGTGTTCGAACGATAGGAGTGTATTGTGAATTCGTGAAGAGATACTTGGACGACGATATCAGGAGTAAAATGAACGAAGTCCTGGTACACATGCTGGTTACTCGAGCAAGAAGAAGAGGAATACGCGAATTTCTTGCTGGTCGGCTTGTTTTAGAATGAGAATGTGATTTCCGAATGTTAGGGTTTTGCATGACACGCGCAATTTCTTTCGACGTTATTTTCAGAGAGTTATGTTCTCTTGTCAATATTTGATTGCGTCCGATGAGTACTGTCACGTATTCTGAACAAAACGGTTGCACAATTGAGCAGTTGAAACGGTAAACCGTGCAAGTGATACGAAAATGAAGTATTGTTTTGTTTAATTTTATTCAAAAGTAAAATACTGCTTTGTTTTTTAGAGGAAAATTATGGAAGTTTCTTTTAAGTAGCTGAAAGTGAAGGAGGTAGGGGTAAGTATAGTCGATCGAATATTTTTAAGCTCGATTATTTATATTTATTTAAAGGTCCAATTAAATTGCGTTGGACAAACATTGATAAATAGATTAAAAAGAATAATCGAAATTATCGGAAATCGTAGTTCAAGATTTAAGCAAATGCGTTTGGAGTACCAAGCATAATAGGATCGTCGCAGAGGGTAGTATAGGGCGAATAAGAGTCGTAGAATTGCTCCCACATTAGGGTTCCCAGGTCCGCTTGACGCGGGACCATCGAGAATGTTTCATTCAGATTAATCTGTAGTCCATTGACTCCTGATGGCTCCCAAACTGCTCCGTTCACTGGCACGTTGTTAGGTGTGGGGTTGCTGAAACCATGATCGCGAATATAAATTTCTCAAACAGTCAGAAAAAAGAACAATTAAAAAGAAGCTTTGCAAGTTTTCGCGCACTGTGACTTTGAGGCCTATAGACGATTTAAATATGGAACCTAAGGGCCCATAGGCGATTTAAATATGGGACCTTGGGGCCCATAGGCGATTTAAATATGGGACCTTAGGGCCCATAGACGATTTAAATATGGAACCTTAGGGCCCCTAGGCGATTTAAATACGGAACCTTAGGGCCCATAGGCGATTAAATATGAGACCTTAGGGCCCATAGGCGATTTAAATATGGGACTTTAGGGCCCATATGCGATTTAAATATGGGATCTTAGGGCCCTTAGGCGATTTAAATATGGTACCTTAGGGCCCATAGGCGATTTAAATATGGAACCTTAAGGCCCTTAGGCGATTTAAATATGGTACCTTAGGGCCCATAGGCGATTTAAATATGGGACCTTAGGGCCCATATGCGATTTAAATATGGGATCTTAGGGCCCTTAGGCGATTTAAATATGGTACCTTAGGGCCCATAGGCGATTTAAATATGGAACCTTAAGGCCCATAGGCGATTTAAATATGGGACCTTAGGGCCCATAGGCGATTTAAATATATGTGATCTTGGGGCCCATAGGCGATTTAAATATGGGTCCTTAGGGCCCATAGACGCTTTGAAAATTTTCTCGCACTGTGACTTTGGCGCCTATAGGCGCTTTGAAAATTTTGGCGCCTATAGGCGTTGTGAAAATTTCCTCGCACAGTACTATTATCGACTTTTGGCACACTTTCACCTTAATTCAATCCTCAACTTTTACCCTTTGCACACTTTCACTCGAATTGAATGAAATGATAAATTTCTGAATTTTGGTAAAATTTAAAGACGCCAAAATAAAAGATTTTGAAAAACTCTCAATTTCCTCGTTGTTAATGCTCGTGATTATGGGTATGGGAGACCTCGATCTCCTATACATATACTTCTCTCACCCTGTTTTCGCAAAGTTCGCCCACAATTCGACCACATTTTGGCGGTATACGTTGTATATGTTCGTTGGATCGTTGTTGCTGATAATGGCAATGTTCCATATTACACCGAGGTCGTCAGCGTGAGCAACACCTAAGAACCAGAAACGTTGAAATTATTCCGTGGAAAAAGTTCTTTCGAATATTCCAGCATTTCAACTTACCTTTGATTCTGTTATCAGCAAACTTGTGAAGGTTGTACTTCGAATCGTAGGAAAAGTAGTAGTAGTAAACGGAGAACGGGCTGTTCTTGACGAAGTATCTCTGCGTCAGCTCCATTGGCGCAACGAAATGGTACGTAGACGCTAGCTGTAAATAACACGGAATCGTGTTGGAAAACGTTCCAGTAAAATATCAACGAGTAGTTCATTTACCTTTATTATCTCCTCTTGCGTGCCGTTCATGACTGTATTGGCAAAGTCCTTCAGGATGGTGGAGCTGAAAAGAACGTTCCTAGAGATCGTTTCCAAGGCATCGGATAATCCTTGTCTTAAAGCGTCCACACCTAATAATCAACACGAAAAATGATTAGAAAACAATAATAACTTGTTAACACGTTAAGCGCCATGTCAGTCGCCGGTGACTGACGCTATACTTTTCGTTAGTCGTCTTCTGTTTATAGTTCGCATGGCCCAGTTGTTTAACGTGTTAAAATACCTACACATGTTTATTACAACATATTTCCTCCGCTAAAACTACCCTTAAAATTTAGAATCCTCTTTTCTACCACCCTGTTTAAAAAGAAACCCGAAGGAAAATAGTGGAAATTTGTCGAACGACAATTACACTCACCAAGGGAGAACAGTGCAGCCTCATTATCGTTGTAGCCCATCAGCACAGGTACTTTCGTGAAGTTTCCAGTTCGCAATTTTGCAATGGGACAATTATCCACAGTATCGTTCGTCGACGTAGGAACGAATGGGAAGTACAGTGGTCCCTGTTTAACAGAAATATCTCACAACACAATCCATACACGCTTTCACCATAACGATCGACGAAAGTTAAACCACGAATAACGTACCGGTACCGAATAGGCACCATGTGCACGCGACACCTCGAGGAGATCAGCAGCAGGTTGCTGTTGCAAGAAATTGAACACCTCAGTTTGATCCAAACTGTAGAAGCCCAAAGCTGCAGCAACGTTCAGAGTGTCCTGTATAGCCTCTGGTCGAGAATGGTACGCCCACGGGCACAAAGCTGAGGAACTCTGAAGGATCACTTTGTGGAACAATCCTGGAATAATACGAGAATTAAAATTGAACGACTCGAAAATTTCCACGATTAGATCGTTACTAATTCGTCGTACCTGCAGATTCAGGCATAAACATCTGGAAGGATACAGAAGCGGCACCGGCACTTTCACCGAACAGAGTCACTTGGTTTGGATCACCACCGAAGGCAGCGATGTTCTTCTGCACCCATTTAAGAGCAAGGTTTTGATCCCAGAGAGCTGCGTTGCCTAACTGTTCACCGTTCACGTCCAATGCCAAGAATCCTGCAAAGACACAGCTGATGAATAGTGTCTCTGGTTAGAATTCTACGAATTGTTTCCTCGGACGGATACTCCGGAGGATTCTTACCTAGGATGTCGATACGATAGTTGAAGATGACGACCAATACGTCTTCCTCGAGGAGGTAGTCAGGACCGTATACACCTGGCCACGACCATCCTGTGGTGAAACCACCACCGTAGGTGTAGACCATAACTGGTTTCTTCACTGTCACATTAGCAATGTCCACCTGTTTCGGCGATTGGAAGAAATGCTTAGTGTAGAATTGGAGGTGATTGGATCAATTTTTCGTTTCGTTGGACGAGTTCATTTTACCACAGGCGTGTACACGTTCAGGTAGAGGCAATCTTCGTCTCCGCTGGTGCCAAGAGTGAGGACTTGAGCGCAGAAGTTCGTGTTGTCCTGAACTATCTTCACCTCTGTCCATGGATCGGGCAATTCAGGTTTCTGCGTTCGTCGTGGGGAAAAGAAACTTCGTTAGAATGTGTCTCAGCTAATTTGAAGGTTTATCTCCATGTTGTCTATCGATCATTCTGCCATTAAGATTGAACAATAGCGAGCAATTCAGTACTTAGCTATCGGAACAGAAATTTTCTTACGAAACAGAATGGTTTGTCGCAGAGAAAGAAATAATCGCAGAAATTGAGCACACCTATTATCGTTATTGGCCACATGCAATAAGATCGACTAATCGGATCAAACAGCACCGCGTGGTGGAAGATTCAAGCGGTGCGCACGAAGTAGCCCTTTTGCCCCTGCGCTGCCCCGAGGGCAAACTCTGGAGCCCGCAGGGCAAGAGTACTTTTCTCACACCGCCTGACTCTCCCGTCGCGAAATTTTACAGGAACCGATTCGTCAGAATTATCACATCTGCCAATAATGACTAGACTTGTGCTTGATTAAAGGAGAGTTAGCCAACTTCACACCTCTCGCCCTTGTGCCGTCTAACTGAAATTTTTTCCAGCTCTCAGAGAAGATAGTTCTCGGAGAAGAAAAATTCAATGCAAAATGAAGAACCTAGTAGACGGTAAGTTTGCCATTTCCGTTTAGGTTCCTCGTTTCGTTCCTCCGTTAAGCATTTTTGCGTTAATAATTTGCGTAAATGTATAAAACGCTAGAAATGGTTCGATATCTCTTCAGAAATGCCACGACAGATGTTTCACGAGTTAAAACAATTATATCTACGTTTTTCCACTTCCCTCAAAATTTCTTCGAAAAATATTAATTAATTAAAAAGTTACCGCAATTTTCTCCAACGAAACGCGACTGAAAAAAGAAACCCTCGAATCACCTCGTACCGATGTCAAGCGCGGCTAAAAACACTCCGTTGTCAATGTGTCAATACCAACGATACTTACCTTGAATCTGAGAGGTCCAACTGGTGGTTGGGCGAAGGGAATTCCCTCGAAGGCCGAATAGTCCTTCGAATGCAATACCGTCTTGTATACTCTTCCCTGTACCGGACCCTTATCCGTCTGGACGATCTGGCTCATATCCTGAGCCTGAACGGCCGCCGCTAGTAGAACAATGCACAGGAACATTGTCGAATACATTTTGCTACTGAACGTTCACCGCGATCTAGGGCAATTTATACCGAAATTCGATATCGTTTGAATTATTGGACGATCGCATGACAAGAGTGAGTGTGCAAACAGTTTTCACCCTGCTGTTCTTCGCGTGAGGACATAATTCAGGCTGGCATAATAGGATACGTCGGACGTTAATTAGCAGGAAATGTAATAAAGTCTTCTGTATTGACGGTAGATTACGCAAGAAGGTGAATTTCTATTGGAAAATGTATGGATTATAGGATGTAATTAGTAGAATTTCATTGTTACGTTTTGTCGTTCACATTTGTTAAGACAGTCGAGAATAAGTTAATGTACAGCTTATTCAACGATGTGAACATTTCTTCAAGGTTAATTGTCGGGGGTGTCAGTATTGAAATTAATTGTCGCGCGTGTAGCGCAAGGTAAATATTTATTTGGCAAATATGTGACTGCAGTTGGAGTGATATGTTGAAATAGGTGTCTAAACCTACCTAACCGACGTGGGTGAAACATTTTTTAACGGTATTCCCTTAGCATCTGTCTTTTTAAATTAATTTTCTGCTCGTATTTGAATTTAAATTTCAGCTGCGCTGAAAATATACTTCGCCATCTTATCGTGGAAGCTTATGAAAATCTGATCTCGACATTTTTGAACGAGTTCGACAATCTATAGTGTAGTAGGGGGGCCTCCATACCCAAATAGGAAACCGACAAGGGAGAATAGAGAGGGAGTGGTTGGCGTAAGCGACAGGTTTTTATTGTAAATTTCTCCTAGTCACAACAGCTCAGTTCTCACTACTCACACAACAAGCACTGAAAAGCGAAGAAAACAGGACATGCGCCAAATGTCTCCGGACAGGCAACGCAACCTAAAACTTTAAGAATTTTATTATATCTAAATTAACTATGTAATAGGCAGAAGCACTTAAGATACAAATAAAAACTAAACTGTTGAACTGTTAAAACTGGTTGGCGTAGCGCGCAAAGCCACGGCTTGCTAAGCCGAAGGTCTCAAGTGTTCAATTTCCGTTTGGGTCCCTCAATATTTTTCCCTAGGTTCCTACAATAGCAAGGCTACAGTTTCATGAAGGAAACTTTAAATAATTATACTTTTTGGTGCTAATATTCATTTTTGGATATATAGTAATGTCTCTACAAGTGTCAGCCAGTTTGGATTCTACAAGTGTCAGTATAGATGGTCCTGCGCCTATGTTATCTCGCTCGCTGTCAGTCAAGCGTGTAACGCTACACCACTCGGTTTCTTTTACCAGATTTCACGGCTCGACAATTTATAATAGAAAAATATAAATTCTTTAATTTTACGTTTTTTCATCTGAAATTTTTTTTAACATGTTGGTGATATTTTTCTGATGAAAATGAGATCAAACACGATATAATTTGAACAACATTTACTTATTGATACTTATTGAGTAATTAATTTAATGTCGGCCTACCTCCACGTAAAAAAAAAGAAAATGTAGGGCCTTATTAATACTTATTGAGTAATTAATTTAATGTCGGCCTACCTCCACGTAAAAAAAAAGAAAATTTAGGGTTATGTAATGTAATACAGGGCGACTGTTTTATCTCAAACAGTGAAATATCTGGCGTGACAGTGAATGTGTTAATAAGTAAATATTGTTCAAATTATGTCGTGTTTGAAGTCATTTTCATCAGAAAAATCTCATCAATATGTTAATAAAAATTTCGGGATAAAACAACGTAAAATTAAAAAAGTTGGTATTTAAGTATGTAATGTAATACAGGGCGACTGTTTTATCTCAAACAGTGAAATATCTGGCGTGACAGTGAACGTGTTAATAAGTAAATATTGTTCAACTTATGTCGTGTTTGATGTCATTTTCATCAGAAAAATCTCATCAATATGTTAAGAAAAATTTCGGGATAATGACTCTACAAGTGTCAGGTTTAGGTTCCTTGCGGACTGACACTTGTGGAGACATTACTGTATGTTTATGAAACTTTTCTCTTTATTTCAACACACAGATTTTATACACAAAGTTTTGTCCAATTTTTTCGAAACACCCTGTATATAGCTTCCACCAATTATACTCACATCAACGCTGTTCTAATTTCGCTATAGTACGAGTGAAATAATTCAAGAGTAAATAGTATTTTCATTAATTTTATTTTTCTTCACTTAAATGGTATAATTATTAGAAATATTTACATAGTTCCACCTCCATAGTTCCACGAAATGTCGAATTTCTGATGAATTCCTAACGCAGAATTGTAATAATAAAATTTGTAAGATTAAACGTTACACTTAGCGTCTGAAATATGGTTGCAGATAATGAACCAGGAAAATTATTAATAATTCATTTAACATCACGAATGAAATTTGTATTTTATTGTTTTCATAAGGAACATCCTTGGATAAGGTATCTAAGCATAGAAATATCGATACAAAGCACCACAGGAACCCCAATTAGTAATACCCAAATGAAAGAGAGGTAGGAATAAAAGTAGTCGTTCGAATTCTTCATTATTCGTACATGTCGTGTAAAATAATAAGAAATCATAATCATAAAATGTTTCGTCGTCGTTGAAACGAAGATCTCCTGTAGATTTCCAGATTTCAAGGGAACGCAGTCTCGTTAGCGATCATGGAAGGATTGCTACAGAGAGTGGCGTATGGCAACGCTATGTCGTAGTATTTCTCCATTTCCTGGAATTCCGGGCTCAAAGTACGGTTCTTCATCGTGAATACGGTATTTATGTCCAGCTGTAATCCTTCCACTCCTGATGGCTGCCAAACTGCCCCGTTGATCGTCTCGTTATTAGGCGTGGGATTGCTGAAATCGTAATCACGATTGTAAATTCTGATATCGTAACAAAATTTGAAAAAAAATTAAGAAATAAAGTAAGGAAATTTGATTTAGGAATAAGGAAATTAAATCAGAAATAAGAAAATTGAGTTAGAAATAAGGAAATTAAATTAAAAATGAGAAAATAAAAAAATAAAAATGAGACAATTAAATTAGAAGTAAGAAAATTAAAAGAAAATTCTCCATTAGAAATTACATTGAAATTCACTTTTTTTCCACAATTTTCATATTTCCATATATAATTACGCCTATGTACATATTTTCCCTTACCTGTATTTCGCAAAGTTCGCCCACAGCGTGACCATTTCGTTCCGGAACAAATTCACAGTGTCCAATGGATCGATAGGAGTGATCACTCCGATATTGAAGAGAAAACCGAGGTCGTCTGCATGAGCAACACCTGAGATCGAAAGACAAGGTTGAATTCTCCCAGCAAATATCTTCCTTCGAAAATTCCACCAAACGTACAAAGTTCTTTAATTACCGTCCATACTGCTATCCAGCAGCCTGTGAAGATTGTACTTGGAATCGTAGGCGAGATGATAGTAGTAAACAGGATGATCAGAGTTGTATTTCGTGATGTACCTTTGCGTTAGATCCACTGGTCCAGATATGTAGTACGCTGACGCTAGCTGTAAGAATCGTGTTGAAAATTGTTCGATTACAACGTCGATAAGAAAATTAATCTACCTTTATCATGTTGTTTTCTGCATCTGTCGAGATGTTATAGGCAAATTCATTGAATACGTTCACACTGTCGAAGACTTCCAAGAAGGAGAACCGCAGGAGCTCGTCGAACAACAAATTCTTTACTACGTCAAGCACTGATAACCAGAATGAAAAATTATTAAATGACAAAAATAAGTAGAAGAGTGAAACAAACGTGAAGAAGAAAATGGAGAAATATCGAAAATTATACAGAGTGGTGAAAAAAGAAAGAAAAGTCCTAATGAACGTGAATATTTTCAAAGTTAGTTTCTAAGTGGTTTCAACCTAAACGAAAATTATTCATAACTTTGAAAATACTAATTTTTGGATGTATATTTATTAGAACTTTTTTTTACTGAAGTTCTGAAACTTGTATTGCCTGTATAAAAAGTGAAGGAAAAGTAGAGAATATTCGAGAAAATTTTGAATTATGCTCACCAAAGGAGAACAATACTGCTTCGTCCTTGTTGTAGCCCATCAGTACTGGTACCTTGGAGAAGTTTCCAGTCCGTAAATTCGCTATGGGACAATCAGCCAGAAGATCGTTCGTCGAGGTTGGAACGAACGGATAGTAGAGTACTCCCTGTTTGAACAAATTTCTTGTAACACGATCTGTTACGTATTCTGCATACTAATCGAACGAAGGAAGACATTATTGATATACCGGTAAGACGTAACTGCCCTGTAAACGAGATAGCATCAGGAGATCGTGGAGATTTTGCTTTTCCATGAACTCCAACACCTCGGTTTGATTCGAACTATAACAGCCTAAAGCGTTAGCAAGGCGCAAAGTACTTTGAATAGCGTTTGCTCGCGAGTGATACGCCCATGGTGACAAAGGTGTGCCACTTTGGAGGATAATCTTGTTGAACAGGCCTGGAATACAGGAAATTTTCAGTTGAATTTCCTAATTACACGTTTTCTCTGGAATCAGGTGTTTATTGTACCTGCAGATTCAGGTATGAGCAGGTGATAACCGACAGAAGCTGCACCAGCGCTCTCTCCAGCTAGGGTTATTTGGTTTGGATCGCCACCGAAAGCAGCGATGTTCTTCTTCACCCATCTTAGAGCAAACACCTGATCCCATAGACCTGCGTTGCCCTCTGCACCTTCGACGTCCAGCGCCAGGAATCCTGTAAGGATATAGCGAATTGAAATTTTTGGATGTTCAATTTTTTGGGAACTTTTTTCGATCTGGGAGATCAGGTCAGAAAAATTAGGTTATATATAATTGTAGGAATCGACGAAAAAACATTGACGGACCCAACGGGAATCGAACCCGCGACCTCCGGATTAGTAAACCAAGGCTTTGCGCGCTACGCCAATCACTCCCTCTTCATTCTTCCTTCGAGGTTTCGTAGGTTATATATAATTGTAGGAATCGACGAAAAAATATTGAGGGACCCAGCGGGAATCGAACCCGGGACCTCCGGATTAGTAAACCAAGGCTTTGCGCGCTACGCCAATCACTCCCTCTTCATTCTTCCTTCGAGGTTTCCTATTTGAGTACGGAGGCCCCGATACTATATAATATAGAAAACGAATATGGTGATTGGTGATAGCAATACGAACGTCTAGAGCAGGGGTCGGCAAACTGCAGCCCGCCATCAGTTTTTTCATGACCCGCGAGTTATGTACAGTTAAATGAAATATTATCCAAAAAGAACGAATTCCATATTTCTCATTAATAAATGTGTATTACAAATAAAGGATTTGTCAAAAAATGTTCATTTATAGTTAACTACCTACACACATATGTACATACGTAATAATCTCTGATAAAGACTAACCTCTGATCTAGAGTGTGAGATTTCATCGCGTTAATACATAATTCGATGGCTGAGTGATAATCTCAATAACAATAATTGATGCGAAATAAATAGTGTAATTTCTTCCTCTGTGTAAATTCACTAAATGAATGAAGAAAGAGGAAGGATTTCCACCCTTCCCATTTTCTTTTTTTTTAGACCATTGGAATTCGTCTTGCCATTTTTTCAACCATTGGAATTCGTCTTTCCATTTTTTTTTCTAACCATTGAAATTCATCTTGCCATTTTTTTTTTAATTATTGAAATTTGTTGGACGTGACAGTTGGAATACCTTCCTACCTAATACATCGACACGATAGTTGAAGCTGACGAACACTATATCCTTCTCCAGGAAGAAGTCAGGGCCGTATACACCGGGCAACGACGATCCCATCGTGAATGCACCTCCATAGATCCATACTAATACCGCTTTCAAACTTGTAATATTCTTAAGGTCCACCTATTGATAATTAAGAAAAAACATGTTTGGCATTGCGATTAATTAGAAAACCTCGTTTTGTTAAACGAATCAATTTACCAGAGGTGTGAAAACGTTCAGGTAAAGACAATCCTCGTCTCCAGTAGGTCCAAGAATGAAAGCTTGCGAGCAGGATATTGTATTCTTCGTGGCGTTTATCACATCTGTCCATGGATCAGCCTCGACAGTTTTCTATATAAAACGGAATCTTCGTTGACGTATGCCTAATTTGACAATCTTCAATGGAAGACTTTTCATTTCACTGCTGTCTATTAATTATTTTTCCGTTCTAATTCTCTAATTAATAGTCACTTAATTGGTCACCTAACTAATAGAAATTTTAGAATAGGGGAGAACAGAAATTTGGAAAAAGAACAAAAATTTTCCAAGGAAATAAAAAAGAAAGGAGAGTAAAAAGGAAAATTTGACACAACGATGAACACAGAGAAGATTTTTACCCTGAATCTGAGAGGGCCGACTGGTGGTTTACCAAATGGAATTCCCTCGAAGGCCGAGTAAAGCTTGCTGTACCACAGTGTCTCGAAGATTCTACCCTGTACAGGACCTTTGTCTGTCTGTACGACATCGCTCATGCGTTGACCATGAACGGTCGACGCTAGAAGAACAACGCACAAGACCAGTATCATACTCATCTGACTAATGAAACGTTTTCCACAATCCAAGACAATTTATATCGGAATATGTCATCGGTGAAACGTTTGAATTATTGGATCGTCGAGTGACAGGAATGAGTATGCGAGCATTTTTCATCCTGCTGCCCTTGATGGGAAAGAAAAAAAAACTAAGTCAGGTTGATGTAATGAGATTTCTGTTACTCGTTAATTGGACGGAGATCTGTAAGAAACTTCACCCCATTCGCCGTAAATTATACAGAAAGTTTCTATTGAAAAATTTATAAATCGTACGGTGTAATTAGTAGAATTTAATTGCAACGTTTTTCCATTTCCATTCGTTGAGACAGTTCCATTCATGGCACGTAACCAACTTCTGGAAGAAATTATAATATATAGCTTGTTCAACGATGTTGACATTTCTCCAAGGTCAATTGTCAGGGTTTTCATGAAGCAACGTATTGAAAGTAACCATTGCATCTGTAGTGTAAAGTACACGTTTATTTTGCAAATATGTGACTGCAGTTGGTATATAATACGTGCGGCAATACATCACGTTGAACTTTTCGCTCGTGAAATGATTCGTGATAGCGTTTAACTGTCGTGTATAATGCAATTGTATCGTGGGCCATCGATGACCCACGCGACGTAGTAATTAATTTTCAATTCTCTGGGACGCGTACTGTTTTTGAAAAGTAACATAAATGAATGCAATAGCGTGGGTCACCGATGACCCACGTGGGTCACCGGTGCGTTGCGTTCAAATAATCAATGCAATCGTGTGGGTCATCGGTGACCCACGTGGGTCGCCGGTGCATTGCATTCGAATCGTGAATGCAATAGCGTGGGCCATCGGTGCCCCACGAGAAATTAACGCGGCACTCAACTCTTTAAGATAGATATACACCATAATAGTAAGCACTTGATGAGTTTCTTCTATAGTTGAGAAGCTGCTGTCAATTACAGATCTTTTTTAAATAAAATTTAAAATAAATAAAATTCTTTTATAAATAAATTTTGTGCCGGTATTCGAATTGAAATTTCAAACTCGTGAATATAGTACAAAAGGAATAAGAACAGACATGAACGACCAGATGAAAAATAAAAGAAAAAAATATTTTCAACACTGTTTTAAACTAATCACACAAGAAGAACGACGTCCAAGCAGAGTAAATCCTTCATATTTGTCACTGTGAATAATGTCCAGGCGAATTCAATGGAACGCGATCAATTTATTTGGACCGAAGCGTGGTTCGACGAAATTCTGGTAACCTGTTAATGACGATGTTGTAAAAATTTCCTATTATATTGTCTATCACGTGGAATGATGCGTCAACGTGATATAACACGATTAGCTGATTGTCCATGAACTCGTGTACAACAATGTAAATTATGGTGCATCTGGTACGGTAATGTTACTCTTCATGGTATTTTTCTGGAAAAAGAAAGACGTCGGATCACGTTTAAAAGTTCAAATTTCGAATAAGAATATATCGAAATTGTTGAAATTTCTCGTGGAGGATCTACTAGATATTTTTCGCAGAAAGCGCAAAGTTTGTAGGTGAGAAAAGCCAGGGAAAACGAGGAGAAAGGAGACGAGCTCCGTAGAAACGTTCCACATTCTTCGGGTACTTGAAAGGCTGCTAGCTTTTGCTGAGTTTTACTTGAATTTCATCCACGCTCAGCTCTCGGCTGCCTCCTTAAGTTCAACACCCGCGCTCTTTTATTGTTAGCCAGCGGGAAAGGGTATCGGAGTTGTTGCTTTATAATGGAAGAGCCAATACGTGATCGTCTCTATAGCTTCTCTTCATGGCTCTCGTGACGAGGCAGCAGGAACTATTAGATAACACGTGACCTGTCATGGAGCTCCGAGCAAACCTTCTTTTTACGTATACCTGTCGCGTTTCTTAAAAGCATTTGATAACACTCGTATAAATAAAATGGAAAAAATTGTAGCAAAATTTTCACTGACAAAAAAACGTTCCGAAGTGTTTCATCGCCGATTTCAATGAAACTTTGGAATGTTGTAGTACTCGAAAAAATATTCGACACGTATTTTTTTTTTATTAAAAATCGTCCACGTTGAAGGGGAGAAAATCGTCCTCAAAGATGTGGGTGAGAACATATTTGTATTTGCTTATATTTTTTAAACAAATGGACTTATTTCAAATTTTTTCGCACAGTTAAATTTGTCATTCAAAAATATGAAATTTAACAAGTTACACCATTCCTCTATCTACAATCATTTTCGAGATATCAGGCCAACCATGTTTTGCGCCCAAATGTTCCAGAGAGATTTTCTCCCCTTCAACGTGGGCGGTTGCTAATAAAAAAAAATACGGGTCTAATATTTGTTTGAGTACTACCACATATCAAAATTTCATCAATATCGATGATTATCACGAGATGTTCACTTTTTTTTTATAAAATTCAAAAATTATCGTTCGATTTAGAATGATTTACTTGGAACAAGTGTTATTGCGAATTTATTCGTTTCCCTTTATTGGTGACAATGCATATTCACGAGTTGATTAAAGTTTAAATAAACCAGATAAAGTAATTTCGTGTTGGATCGTTCGGCAAAATAGCTTTCCTAATAGCTTATGACTGGTTCGCTTCATCACGTTGCTCGTCGTTTATTGTCAGTTTAAACCGGTAAAATCGATCGGAACCTGTTCCATAAGGTTATTTAACTAGTCTACGTCTATCAAGGCTTTTAACAAGTATTAACGTTGAGTGACTTATTTGTCAGACCTTTCTTCTTCATGAATATATACGTTCGCCCATGATCGATTTTATTACGTACAAAAATGAGGGGAGAAAAATTGATGAAATGAAAAAGTTTAAAAGGAAAAAAAAGAAAAAAATACAAATTTCTCTGAATTTTCAACCGACGAATTCTTGTGGAGTAAGGAAAAATGACGGAGAGTAAAAAAATTAACGCTGGTATGGTTAATACGTCTTTTTCTACGTGTCTATTTATTATGAAAATATAATACAAAACATCCTATGTTGTATTACATAGATAACAATGCTCAATTAACTTTTATTCCCTTTTGTCTTGTAACGTTACCATCCAACACTATGAGAAGCATGTCAGGATAGGTAAAGTTTTCGTGTTCTCTTATTCCGTGTTCTTCTTCATCATCGTCGTTATTTTTTTTTCGCATTTTTTCTTTTTTTTGTCGTTTTTCCCTTCGTTTCATTTTCTTTTTTTTTTCTTTTGTATTAACTTCGTTTGGAGGAAAAGGCCCGATAATTACAGAGAGAGAAGATACATATAATATAGACAAGACGTTTTACAGAGCGGAAAAAATTACAGAAACTCGGAACGAAGAAACGAAAGGTGTGTCTGGGTGCATATCTTCTTCTTTTCTTATCTTTTTCTTTTTTTTACGTTTGTTTCTCTTTGTTCTTCTTTTGTTTTTTGTTCGTTTTTTTTTCTTACAAAAAAGTCGCCCGTTCGAACGGAACGAACGGAACAGGAACAAGGGCGGGAGCTTATTTTCCATTACTTCTCTTTCTTTCTTTCTTTCATCTCATCTCATCTTATCTCATCTCATTTCGTTACATTTCATTTCATTTTGCTCTCATCCGTCTGGGCTTCGTGGGTCCAGGAATAAGGGTTCAGGGAAACGGGACTCTCTTCTTGTTTCGCGTGTCGATGCACAAATTGGAGTTTTGTATTAGCGCTAGTTTACAAATAATACAAATGTATGTAAATATCGTTATTATAATAATAGGTTCTCTCTTAGCGAGAAAGAAGCTTAAAGCTAATTCATCTAGCGTCACTATCGTTTTCACACCATGCTAATACTACGTGTTCCAGGTGGTACCCGTGAACAGCCGTGTCGTAGTCGGTCGAACGTGTTGCCGACCAGAGAGAAAGAAATTATCAAAGTACGGGGGGGAATTACCGCTTCGTCGAAGGAAAAAAATTTCAAGTAAACGATCCTCTCTCGTTTGGAACCCACGTTTACTCTCTCCATGGCTTTTCATTTCTCTTTTCTTTTCTTTTTTTTCTTTCACTTGAACGGTAATCCACCTTCGCTTGAAACTCGACTGAAGATAGGTTAGGTCTAACGTGTTCGTTAGCGAAAAATTTCAAAAATGTGATAAAAGAAACTCAAAGGCACCGAGACGAAATTAAAAAATTCGTAAGAAAAAAAGGAGACAGTTGAGCGTAGAGAATAGAAGAGTGAAAGAAAGCTGCGAGATAGAAATTTAGAATGGACGATGGGGCGTTGTTCAAGGCCCCGCGAAGGAAGATGAAAAGGTTCGAATAGGTTTTGCTCTCTACTCAACAATGTATTGTCAATCGTTTCGTTCTTGAACAGATAGCGAGCTTAGCTGTCACAGGCACCGAGTGAAATACATTAGCGTTATCTACGAATAACTCTATATCACTACCGTTTTTTTTTTGTTATTTCATTATTAGGCGAAATTCGTTCGACCAGGGTTCCGTACCTGCCGCCGGACACACCGTAGGAAATTACATCGTTTACGATACCAGTGGCGACACATCGTGACTTTTCGAGGGAAATAAACCACTGCGAGGTTAGAGAAAAGAGGGGTGGGGTGGGGGGAAATGGTGTAACGCACACGGCAACAGGAACCCGGGACGAGCTGGTCGACCTAGGCAATTAGTGTCATCTACGTAAATGCTAAGTACAATTAGCACTACGGTCAGAATAAATTAATGACCATACATAGTGTGCACCTGTGGTGTGTTCCTGTGTCCCGAATATCTGGGCGTTCGTGTATTCAATAATCATACGTGTACGCGCGCGCGCGTGTGTGTGTGTGTGTGTGTTGTGTGTACGTATATGTCATGTCGTGTACATACATATAAGTAAATTGTGTATATGGTGTACAGATGAAAAAGAAGTGTGAATGTTTTCTCTTTTTTAAGTGTCGAGTTTACGTATGTATGTATTTATGTATGTACGTACCTACAGCGTTTTTTCTCCGCGGTTATTAATATCATTTACCTTTAGTACCTTTAATCTCGTTAATTACCTTTTTAACTCTATATTGCTCTTTGTATTGCTTCGGCTGCGTTATAGCCCTACGTAGTCATGCAAGGTATAATTGTATTATTTTTTTTTTTTTCGTTAATAGATATAATATAACTTGGTAATCTCTTCGTCGTCGTTTCGAATGATAATCGGTGACGTGTTGGCGACTGAAATTAATTATCGTGATCGTATTGTATAATAATATGCAATAAGAACGACAGCGATAGTTGTGTGTGTGTGTGTGTTTTGTAATGATGACAAATAAATCACCGTATTTTATATAAGTTTAATAACGGTTTTCACACGTTACGTTCCCTTCCTGTGTGTTTGTGTGTCCTCTGTATTTCGGTCGTGCTGCGTATTTTACGGTATGTACGTAAAAAGTTAAGAGCGTTGACGCGCAATAACGTCCAACGACGGTAATAATAATCGAAGCGATAAATCATCGTAATAATACCAGCCTACCAGTAATTCGATATAATTTCATCGGCAATACCGTGTCAACGTATCTATATAAATATATATAGTTAACTTCACGTTCTGCGTGTACGGTTTAATTTCTTAAGTAAAAGCTATAAAATATGGATACGTGCGCAATTGTTCTGTTTTTTCTTTTCTCGTAATTTACTTTTCTTTCTCTTTCACTCGTTTCCTCGTATTTTCCTTATTTCTTCTTTACACGCACACATAACCTCTCGCGCTTCTCTATACGACAATATTCTTTAACTTTCTTTCTCTCATTCACACGCTCGCACACACTCTCTCTCTCTCTTCAAAACTCTACGACAAATAGTATTATTTTTGCGCTATCTATTCCCTCCTCGTATCGTCGCTATTTTCTTCGAACTAAAGTTCGAATGCTATAATATAC